CTCTGTGTGCCTGGGAACAGCCACCGCAGGCGACCCCGAGCGCGGCACAGGGAGGGGATGCTGGCCCCCTTGCCGCCGGTGGGGTGGGTAAGTGATGCTGGTACCTGGCCTGGAGGGGGTTTGGATCGGGAGCATCCCCATGTGTAGGTTTCCCCTTTCTGCACCCCGAATTACTGGTGACTGGGGGGGGGGGGGGAGATCTTTCCTCCTCCTGCCAGGCTTCACCGTGCCACTGAGCTGGCGCACCCATGCCACCCTGAGCCATCTCCTCCAACCAGCGGCCCCTTCTAGGCTTTTAATCCCAAGAGACAAAAGCAGGAGTTTAATGAGATTGGAGTGTTTGCTGTTCCCTGCTCAAAGCCCTGCTCTTTTCTTCCTCCAGTGGATCCCATTGCTCCCAGCCCGGCCGGGTGCTCTGCGCCCTCCCCACCTGCGTCACCCGGGGTTTGCGTTTGGGATGAAGCATGGGAGAACCGGTGCTGTGGGTATGGAAAGGGCTGGGGGCAGGAAGGGCGGTGTGGTTTGGAGGTCCAGGATGCTGCTGGCATCGGCCTGATGTATTCATCACCCACCGGCTGGTCTTTCCTTGCCCATCCTGCCCCATGGCTGGGCTGAAGGGGTGAGGATGTGGCAACCCGGAGGCAAACCTCAGAGCCTCCCGCTGCTGCAGGGTGTGAAGAGCCTTTGTGCTGACACCTCCATGCTCAGCCGAGGGATGGCCCTGGGACCTCCAGCACCACCAGCACAGAGCAGACACTGGCCCCTGTGCTCCAGGATGGGGCTGGGTTCTCCAACACTGCCTGCAAGCACCCTCGAGGGCTGCCCTGTCATGTAGGTGACACCACTTGGGTATGGGACCATTTACTCTCCTTTAGTCTGTTTGGTTGGGTTTTCTTGCTCAGGTCTCCCTGCCACAGCTGGGAATGCCGGGAGCACCTCGCGCAGCATCAGAGCCCAGCTCTTTATCAGGGTGGGCCCTGCAGGCGGGTGCCAGCTGCAATAATCGTGGCTGTTTGCGTCAAGCATACAAGCATCCCCTGTAAACGGGGTTTATGGCAGCATCTGGAAGATGTGAAGCCAAGCAAAGGTGGCCAGGGGAGGTAATAAAGAGGAGCGGCCCTGCTTGGCCCCGGGGCTGCTTGGGAAACGGGTGTATTTGGGGTGAGGAGGAGTTTAAGGAGATTCAGTTGTCTCCGCTTTGGAGCGGTCTTAGTGATGCAAGAGCTCCAAGCATGATCCTGGTGGACCTGCACAAACAAAAAGGGTGCTGGCTGCTCTGTGCATGCCTCTGAGCTCCTTCCCTTGCACTCTCTGGCCCATTGGTTACCTTCAGGGCTGCAGGGACCTCTTCCCCTCCCAGGTTCCCTCCAAGGGTAGAGGAGGCCTTGGCTGATGCCCACTCAAAGTACCCAGTCCCAGGATGCCCAAGCAGCATCTCCCTCCCTTTCCCCATGGTGGTGCCTGCTCACACCCCATATGGAGGGGTTTGGGGGGACACGAGGGGAGCAGGAGCAGCTCATGTGGATGCCAGTGTTGTGCTTCCTGCTGTTCGCTCCAGTTTGGTGTCACTGCAGACACGCCAGCTGTGGGACTGTGACCGAAGGATGCTGCTCTGCACCGACACCTCTCACCAGAGCATCTCCAAAACTCACCTGCAAAACCCAGCCTCCCCAGGGCTTCCTGGAGAGCAGGAGCCATGCATCGACCGGTGAGCTGGGCAGAAGAGAGGGGACCTCTCGGAGGGTGGGCTCTGAGCAAAGCACCTGGGAGCTGGGATAGGAAATGTGGCTGGTTCCCACCTCCTGCCCTTTATGGGGAAAGAGGAGCCTGAGGGCAGTGGGTGAGAGGTGTCTGAGACCCGCTGCCTCCCAGGCCTCTGCCTGCTCCAGGCTCTGACCCTCTGTATGTGCGTTAGCTTGAACCAGCATGAGGGTGATGAACCCTCTTGGTGTGAGCTGGGAGGAAGCAAAGTGCTGTCAGCAAACAGCAAGTGAGGAGCAATCAAGATTATGGGTGGCAGGAGGGGAGTGAGCAGCCACCTCTTCCCACTGGGACCTTCCTCCTGTGTGGTGGATCTCAGGCTTTCCTTCACCCTTAGCAGGGATTCCCTGCGTCCTGGTGCTTTCCCAGTAATGGGAAGCTGGTCATTTGTAGGCTGGTTTCTGCCTTGGTGTCAGCCCAGTGCAGGGAGCATCCCCAGAGCCCTCGCAGGTATGAGGGCAGGGGTGACGGTGTTGGAGAGGTGGAAACCTAAAGGATGCTTGGTCCAGTGGCAGCACGGGAGCATCCATCCTCATCATGCTGCTGAGCACTGCAGATCTGGCTCCTATGGGTTCACAGCTGCAGAGCAGGACTGAGCTGGGGGATGCATTAAAGGCATTCAATCTATTTCCCCATTTCCATTCTCATTGGGCTGCAGGAAAGCCTGGGAGCAGGATCCACCTCCTTTGTGAGCATCACCCAAAAGCACAGATGCGGGATGCAGGACGAGGCCTCTCAGAGGGACCCAGACTTACGGCTTTGCTTTGCATGGAGACCACTGCTGTCTTCAGGTGCTGTGTGGGAACCAAAGCAGAGGAAACACTGCTGCTGCAGGGCACCAGGAAACACCACTCGGGTCGGACACAAACGGGGCTCAATCGTCTCTGTGGTTTCTGCAGTGACATCAAGCGCCTTCAATAGTTTTATTATCTATTACATGGCTGCTGATCTATTATTCTTGTGATGGAGCCAGAGATTAGCTGCAGGCAAGCGGGCAGAGAGATTCCTCCAGGCTGATTCACGAGTCCTTTCTCCATCCCTTCCCTTGGGCTGCGTTCCCAAGTTGAGGTTTCAGCCATGGCAAAAGGCACCGGAATTGGGTTGTCAGGGAGGACAAGGGAAAAGCGTTGAAAGCTGGGCACACGGGGCAGAACATCCAGACTTTATTTCCCCTCTTTTGTTGTTTCTCAGGTGTCGCAACCTGTCTTTGCCTGGTTTGCATAGGCAAGCATGTGCCGAGCCACCGATTGCGAAAGGCGGCGGTGAGAGCATCGCAGGGCCGGTGACGCCAGGCGGCTGCAGCCACCAAACCTGCTCTGGGGAGGAAGGCAGAGCTCTCACTTTTGGGCCTGGTTTTGCTGCTCTCCCCAAGCGCAGCAAAGCAAATGTTGTTTGCCTTTAATCTCTTTTCCTTATCGGGATCTCTGGTGCTACTGATAAGAGGAGCAGGGAAAGGTTTTCCAGACCCAGTTTGGCTTCCCGACGGACCAGGATGACCGGGGTCCAGGATGCTCCAAAGCAGAGACCCAGCACCAGGTACTTCCAGCACATCCCCTCTTGCTCGGTGACCTCCTGCTTGTATCCAGCATCCCCGATTGCAATCACTTCTTCATTGCTGGCTCCTTTGGGTGACTGTTTTGGTGTTTGCTCCGGTAACGCATAGTAATGCAACCTAATACACAAGGGAGAGCTGGAGGTGATGTCACAGCAGGAGGTGCAAATCCAGCTCGCACAACCCGTGCAAACTGTAACCTGCTCAGCAAACTGCTGCTGTGGGATGGCCGCAGTGATTTCCTACCATGGCTTGTGTGCAGTTCATACACGGTTTCACTCTGTACCTTAAGTTTTCACAGCCAAGATGCCTGCGTTTCTATGCTATGATAAAGGTACCCGCGCTTGAAGGGCTACAGCCTCATCTCTGGAGCTGTGTTGGGATGCTTCCGCCCCTGGATCCTACGTGGGGATGCTGAGCTGGGACACGGGAGCAGGATTGGGCACGGTGCCCACTGTCCCCAGCTTCCTGCAGTGGCTCTGGCCGGGACCTGGCAGCTCTCAGGAGCTTTGCAATGGCTGCAGGAGCAGGCAGAGCTGCATTGTGCTCGTGGTACCTGGTCTGAAGCAGAGGGGTGCATCGCCCCTCAGGGGGTGTGGGGGGACTGTGCTGTGGCTGCTGTGAGGAGCAGCGCAGAGGTCAGCGGGCGGCTGGGCCCGCTCCTGGCTGTGGCACATCCCCATCTCCTGTGCCTGCCCCATGGCAGAGCCTGGGGCTCCCTCCCCACCGCTGCTGCCCCCCATGTCCTCCCAACCCACATCCCCACCACCACCGCCACGTGTTCTGGGCCTGGCTGTGTTTACCGAAACAGGGCAGGAAAGCTCCCCCCCGGGTGCAGGAGCCTGAATCCGGGGGCAACTTTTTCCCCACCGATAAGATAACATTGAGGCGATTCAGAAGGGACAGAATCCCCTGGTCCTGGCGATACCGCGGTGAAGCCAATGCCCGGGGCAGCCGTGACACCGGGGTCGCATCCTGACGGGGCTGTTTCCACCCCGGTGCATGGTGCCGATGGGCTGCGTGGTGCTGAGCCCGGCTGTGACGGCTGCAGGGCCACGGTGACGTGGGTCTGACCCTGGGTTGCACCACGGCTGTTTGCGGCCGGGGTTTTGTCTGACGTTGGGGTTTAGGGCATGGGAGGGTTTGGTTTCAGCAGCGCTACGTGCGCGGGGGACCTGGCTGAGCTGCTCTGCTCTCTTCATGTGTTAAAGAGGGACAATAAATACCAGCTGGGTGTCTGTCTCGGTCAAAACAGCTTTTTCCTGCTTATTCCGGTGGGGACAACCCAAGCCTGGAGCGCTGCACCTTTTGGCCATGCCCTGGTGCCTTGTGCTGCTCCCAGGCAGCAGCAACGTGGACCCTTTGGATACCCTTGGGGCCATCCCTGCTGTGCAGGGTGGTTGGGTTGGGGTGAGGGGCTCCTGCTGTCCCTGTCAGCCCTGAGCATCCTCACTCGCAGTCCCTATTGCAAGCCCCTTGCACTTGCATAGGGGATGCTCCTGGCCCTGAGCTAGTCCAGCATGTGCTGGGGGAGCGGTGTCATGCGGCAGGGTCCAGACAGGGGCTCTAATGCATCCAATAGGTCTCTGTGCTGCAGGGTCTGGCTGCAGGAGGAGCTTTGGGTCTTGTCCCCATCTCTTGGGTTGGTGTCCCAAATGAGGATGGGAAGGGGTTAATGATGCCCAGATTTACCCCACTCCCCTCCTTGGGCCCATTTGGGTCTGAGCCCAGTGCCTTGATGCACTCGTTAAGGGTTAACCCTGGCTTAGGCTATTCAAATACCAGCACCCAGCTTGTTTGTTCAGGTAAATAAGGAAGGAATTGGATATAATGGGCAAAGGAGGCATTTCCTGAGCTGAGCACCTTGTATTCATTGCCGGCTTCCCCTCGCATGCTTTGGCTGGCTTCACCCACCCACCACCCTCAGAGCCGCCTGGGGTGCCCTGTCCTCATCCATATGCCCTGTCCCCATCCTGCAGTGGGGCTACAGGGACGGCACTGAGCAGGGCCGGGTGCTGCTGGCCGCCCTCCCTGCCGGTGCTGGGGCACCCTGCCTTGGGCCATGCGTGCGGAGCACCACAGGGATGGCTCTTCCCCCCCTGCGCTGGGACCTCTGCGGTTTCTGAGCCTCAAGGTAAGCCCTGCGCTGTACTGAGACCTTTCCCCCTTCCCGGGGGTCCTACAGCCCTTTAGGCACCCTTTTAGGGTGGATGTGGTGCCACCCCATGTGAGCATCCCCGCCCGCAGCTCCTTGCACCTCCAGGTGCCATTAGGGCTGAACAGGGACAGGTTGTCCCCCAGCGCGAGGTTCCTGGTGCTTCCCGGCATGGCATCACCTGGAATGAAATGGGATTTGCCAGTCGGAACCCCCTCCTGCTCAGGCAGCAATGGTGCAATGAAGCCAGAGCCCCTGTGGCCAGCTCACCCGGTACCCACAGGGACACTGAGCATCCCGCAAGCCCCTCTGCCCGGCAGGGAGCAGGGGACAACGTGCTTTGGGGCCCTGTGCTCTGTACAGAGCATCGCAGGTTCTGGGCAGCCCAGGGGTTGTCTCTATGCTTTGAACCCCTTTGCAAGACCTGCACGGTCTCAGCGTTGCTTCTCTGCTGGGTGGTTTTTTTCTCCGTGCTAAAGGCACATTGGCTCTAGGTTTGATTTTTGTGGTTCTGCTTGGTTAGTGAAACACAAACGCCGCTCAGGTGCCAAATCCCCCACAATATGGGCTTTCTCATGGGCAGGAGCTTGGCGGGGAGGAAGGTGCTGCTATAAATAGGAGCTTTCTGGCCCTGCATGGGGACACCAAGCTCTGCTGCTCCCTTTGGGGAACACAGAGCACCGGGGCTCCGCTCAGGCCTGTCCCGTTCCTCCCCCTGCTCCTGCTTTCCTCCCTGCACCGATGGCGAGGGCAGCCTGACCCAGGGTGAGGGGACCCGTGGGGACACTTGGTCCCCGCACCAGCGTCCATGCAGGTAACGGCAGGAGGAGCTGGGGGGTCATTGGTGGTGTTGGAGATGGCTGGGTGAGGAGATGGGGTTGCAGGGTCCATGGGATGGGCTGCATCCCTCCTGCGGTACCTCCAGGGTGAGCCTGGGCTTGCCCTGGCCCCAGTCCTGTCATTGCCAGTGACAGATCCAAGCCCTTGCCCTGGCTGAGGCGCAGATTTTGGCCTCCTTCTACCCAGAGATAAAGGGGGCTGTGTGGTTTGGACCTGGCCAAGCACCATGAGGATGGTGGGTGGATGGGATGCGCTGGCAGCACCCCAAACTGTCAGCAGCTTCTCAGCACCAAGGTGCTTGGTGCAGCCCTGGCTCATGCAGAGACCCCAGGTCCCTTCACCTGCTTTATGTGGGCCTCATGACATAGCTCGTGTCTTGTGCTGGCCAGCAGTTGTCTGGCAGAGGCAATGGGCTCCGTTGTCTCTCCGTGCCCCTTGGTGCTTGCATCGCCCTCCTTGGGGCCCAGGGAGGTGCGAGTCAGACCAGAGAGCAGGGGCAAAGCACCCAGATCACAGCCCCTCTTTGGGCAAAGAGAGGATTCCTGGGTCCATGGGGTCCTTGTCTGCCTCTGCCGTGCAGTGCTGAGGGATGTGGGGCAGGCAGAGCTGAAGGGATGGGTTAAAGACAAACCCCACTGTCCATGGCACTGCTTCAAGCAGTCCGGGGCAGCTCTGCATCCCCCATGTCCCCAATTCCTCTCTGGACAGCAAAGCTCATCCCTGTCCCCATCCTCAGTGTGGGAGCTGGAGGTGACCCCAGAGCCTGGTCCGATCCCACCACCCGGCGGCTGCTTGGGAAGGGCTTTGGAAGCACTTGGAGACTTGGGAGGCTTCCTGAGTGCCGGGGGCCAGCCCTGCCCGATCTCGGCTGTGGCACAACCTGTTTAACTGCGGATTTAATTCTCATTAACGGGATCATTGTTTGAGGGTGGCAGTTGGGCCCATTTCTTATTTATTTAATTCCTCTTGCTCCCAAGGGCTAATCCCAGCTCTGCTCCGTCACCGGTGCCGGGTCACTGCCCCGAGCAATGGGTTGTGTTTGCCAGGAGAGCTGGGGATGACACAGGAGATCATTGTCCTCGTCCTCAGACCCCTCAGCTGCGGCATCCGCTGCTTCCCCCAGCATTCCCTGCAGTGGGGCTGAGTCCCTGCAGCCCCGTGGAGCTGAGCCATGACCTGAACCCCTGGGGAGAGCAGGAGCCCTGTCCCAGCCCCACGCTTTTGGCTTGAAAGGAACGTGTTGGAGCTGTTTGGGCTGAGTTCTTGCGGTGCCCTTTGGGGCTCAGGAATGGCAGGAGCCTCCCGGCTGTGCCCTTGGTTGGCAGAGCTTTGTTGTGGGGATGGAGAAACCTCTTGGGTACTCAACGGCTCCATCCTGGTTTGGGATCTGCTCCTCCGCTACCCTGAGCCAGATCCTGCCCGTGGCAGGGTGCAAGCGTTGCAAGAACCAATTCTGTTATCACTTCCCCTCTTGCCCGGAGGCAGGATGAGCCCAAGGCTGCGTCGGTTCGGCTTTGCTGCAGGAAAGCTCTGGTGCGGAGCCCGTGCTCACCGCCAGCCGCATGGGAGAGCCAGAAAGCGCTTGCGGTGGCTGATGCAATGACCAAGGAGCCTTGTTGAGCTCGGGCAGGGGCTCTGGGGGTCCATGTGGCTCCGCGCTCCCTGTGAGCATCCCCCTGCGCCCGGGGCTGCCCCTCCTGCCTCTGCTTTTCCAGGGAACAGCACCCCGGGGAGAGGGGAGGGAAGCGGCTTCTCAGAGCAAACAGGTCCCACCCAGCCCGGCCGCCTGCGGGCGCAGCGGGGCAAAGTCAAACACGGGCCCCCGCCCTGGGAGTACAGCGCCGGCTGCACGGTGGCTGCTCGGCCCCAGGGATCGGGTCCTGCTGGTCCCAGCCGGGATGGGGAGAGGATGGGAGCGGGGCCGTCATCCTGCCCTGTGCCCTGCTGCTCCATGGCAAAGGATGCGCCAGGACCCCAGAGCATCCCGCAGACACTGGGGACGAGACCCCCGTCCTCTCCCCAGAGAGCCCCGGTGCTGTACATCGGGCTGGAGCTGCACAAGCTGTTACCGCTTCCCTTTTGTGCCGGGAGCAGCGTGGGGCTGGATTTAGCGCTGATCTCCTAAAGCTCTTCCTTTAATCCAGAGCGAATCAAGGAGAGGTTTGGAAGCCAGCGCCGTCTCTCAGGGAAACTGTTTGGGTGGCGGGGGGCAGCTGGGTGCTGTGCACAACCCCATGTGCCCATGGCCAGCCTCTCCCCTGGCACCCGCTTTCTCTTCCCAACGCCTCGGGGTGTCTCTTGGGGCAGTTTCTCCATGGATGGAGCTGTTCCCTGGTGTTGCTATGGAAATTCGGCAGGCTCATCCTCTTCTCCGTGGCCTCCGGGACTCCCGTGTGCTGGAGACAGATGGGGACAGGCTGATTTTGGGTAGTTTTTCTTGCAAGAGAATGAAAGGAAAGGTCTCATCTGGGGCTGTCCCCAGCCTCGGGGAGCTGGATTTGAGCGCTGTTGTGCAGGGGCATCCTTAGGTTAAAGCAGCAAGTCGTGCTTTCCATATGCAGATATCTGCCTGTACGGTTTAGGCATCCTCCGTTGCGCACAGGATGCCCAAGCAGGTCCTCAGAGCCCCTGCGAGGCACAGGGCATGGGGTTGGGACTGAACTGCTGCCAACCCAGTGTGGAATTCAGAGGGAGACCCTAAGAGCCCGTGGTGATTGGGACCTGCTTCTCCCTCCTGTCTGCTGCAGCAGTGCCCTCCCCAGATCAGGGCAGCCCCCAGCCCCATGGCTGATCCCAAGCCTGCATTCATCCAGGCGCTTGCAGGGAGCCGTGGGTCTCTTTGGATGCGTTTTCCCCTCTAACAGGCTTAGTTCCTCCCTTTGTGCCTGGCTGCTGGGCAGAGGGCAGGAGCCGGTGCCGGGCTGAGCATCTCCTTTCCTCTCCTCCTCTCCAGCAGGGTCGGAGCCGGTGCTGAGCTCAGCAATGGGCAGCGCCAGCCCCACGCTGAGCGCTCTGCCCCCCGGCCGCCTCGCCTGGCTGGACACTGCCCCACGGGACCCCCATAACCAGAGCTGGGGCTGCCCGAGCCCCCCCTCAGCCCCTCAACAGCCCCTGCCCGCTGTGTGCCTGCACTACTTCGACGTGGTTTACTCCGAGGACGTTGCCTGGACCACCGAGGACGTTGCCTGGACCACCAAGGACCTGGGGGAGCCATCCCAAAGCGGTGCCCAAGGTGGGCAAGGGGAGGCACAGAAGGAACCGGAGCAATGTCCCATCATTGACAGCCAGGGCTTGGGGCTGGGGGCCGAGGGGGACCTGCAGGCCAGCCTGCCCCTGGAGGAGCACTCACTGGAGCAGGTACAGAGCATGGTGGTGGGCGAAGTGCTGAAGGACATCGAGACGGCCTGCAAGCTGCTCAACATCGCTGCAGGTCAGTGTCCCCACAGCCATGGGGGGCAACCAGGGAGGGATGCGCCAGGGCAGGAGCTAAAGTGCAGGGTGCAGAGTCCGGTGCTGGGTGTGGGGTAACAACAGCGTGACTGAACCATGCCATAGAGCCAGGGAGCTGCAGGGACACGGCAACTTCCTCGTGAGCCCTTCCCTTCTCTGGAGCTGGGGGTCCCTTCCCCTCCCAGGGCATTGATGTGAGGCTGAGAGGCACCTCCATAACTGCATCTTGGGGATGCGCGTGTAGTGAGGACTTGGATTGTCCTTTTCGCCATCCCATTTTCCCTGGACATTAGGAATGGGCAGAGAAGTGTGTGGGATTGGGGACAGCCTGGAGGCAGCTGGCATTAACTGAGCTAGGGGTAGGATTGGGTGCAAAGGGAGCAGGACAGCCCAGGTCCGAGTCCCCTGGGGTACTGCTGCCATTGGGCATCACCGAGATCCTCCTTGGGGTGTTACTGCCTCCAGACCCCGTGGACTGGAGCCCCGGCAACGTGCAGAAGTGGATCCTATGGACGGAGCACCAGTACCGGCTGCCGCAGATGGGGAAGTCCTTCGAGGAGCTGTCGGGAAAGGACCTGTGTGACATGTCCGAGGAGCAGTTCTGCCAGCGCTCCCCTGCCTGTGGGGACATCCTGCATGCACACCTCGACATCTGGAAGTCCGGTGGGTGCTGGGGACCGCGAGGGGGGGCGATCCTGGCAATGGGAGATGCTCCTCTGATGCCTGCTCCTGCCTTCCAGCTGCCTGTATGAAGGAAAAAGCCAGCCCGGAAGATGGGAGATACTGCGATGAGTTCTGTGCGGACTCAGCTCCATCGGCCTCACTGCTGCATCGGACAGGTCTGGGGTGTTTGGGAGGTTGCTCCCTGTTTAATTGCCATTATCTGGTGTGTGGGAGCAGCTGCACCTGCAGCATCCATGTGGCTGCACTCCCTCTGCCCCACAGCAGCCCTTGCAAAGTGCAACCAAGGGGAAATGACCACAAGACTCCTGCACCCTGTGAGTCCCTGTGGGGCTGTGCCAGGGCAGGAAGGAGCTGTTTTCCCAGCTCCAAGATGGGGAGGACAAAGTGATGCTTCCAGACCCAGCCTCTGGAGATGGATGAGCGTTGAGCTGGGGTTTTCCAGATGAGGACTCCTGCAGGTCCCCAGGACAGTGCAGAGCAGCGCGGTTCCTCTCCTCCCTCATCTCACCCATCCCTCTCCACTGTAGGAGGTGATGCTGCCCAGGCAGACAGCGAGGTGGACTCATCCTGCACTGGCCAACCCATCCACCTCTGGCAGTTCCTCAAAGAGCTGCTGCTGAAACCCCACAACTACGGCCGCTTCATCCGCTGGCTCAACAAGGAGAAGGGTGGGTGCGCCGGTGGCCCCACGGTGGGTGCTGGCGGGTCCGGGGTGGCGGGGTGCAGACAAGGCTGTAACCCCCCCCGGGCCCTGTTTCTCTCCCAGGCATCTTCAAGATCGAGGACTCGGCACAAGTGGCGCGCCTGTGGGGCATCCGCAAGAACCGCCCGGCCATGAACTACGACAAACTGAGCCGCTCCATCCGGCAGTATTACAAGAAAGGCATCATCCGGAAGCCAAACATCTCCCAGCGCCTGGTCTACCAGTTCGTGCACCCGGTCTGAGGGGAGGCACCCGCGCCCCGGCAGGGACAGGGCACCCTCGCTGCCTTCCCCTGCCTCCCAGCCACAGAAACCATCTGCCAGCGCCAAGGACCGGGGTGCTGAGGGGCTCCATCCCACTGCCAATGGACCGCGGGACTCCTGTCAGCACCCAGCCTTGGAGAGGAGGGATAAGCCCCCGGCTAAGGGATAAGCACCAGTGTGGGGTTGATGGGGGGGAGATAAAGGCAGATTAAATCTGTGCCTGTCATGGGGCTCCCCACAACCTTGGTGCTCTTTGCCAGGGATTGACGGTGGGAGAGGAGCTGGGGGACACAGGAGTCCTGCCCTCAGGTCTCTTGCCCTGCCACATTGTCCCTTTACCCTACAGCCCCAGGGCATTGCCAGGACACAGGGGCCAAGCTGGACACCTCAAGATCCCCACGAGCATCAGGGGGATGAGAGCCTGTCCCCATTTCACCCCCAGCCCAGCTGTGGGACCTGCTGCCCTCGGTGCCCATTAGGAGTGATCCCGTGCGGTGCAGTGGGGCTGCTCTGGATTGACCCTAACAGAGCATCTCCTGGCCCTCAGCTCCGTTCAGGATGGGGGGGGGTTCTGCCCTTTGCTGCACCTCAGCTGTAAGGAAAGGGGCTGCCTGCATTTTGTGCTCACAGTGGCCAGGCTTCTCCCTCCCTCCTCCCCTCCCTCCCGGGGGCTGGCTGCGGGTGGCATCGCCCCAGCCATTGTTTGGGGAGGACAAAGCGCAGGCATGAGCTGGGACAATGGCATCTGAAGGGACGAGGGCACCTGCGGCCGCCCTTGGCTGTGCCCATGCGGGAGCAGCCTGGCACCAGCTGCACCCAGGGATGCCGGGACCACAGGCATCCCCTCAGATGGGCACATCCTCCCTTTGCTTCCCGGCTCCGCTTCGCCCCTCTGCAGGGATTTGGGGCATTTTGCAAAGGGAGCAGCTCTAGAAGGTGGGTGCAGGGCTGTCCACCATGGGCAACCCTGCAGTAGTGGGGTGGTCCCCTGAGTTGGGACCGCATCCTTGGGCATGGCATCACCCAGAGCCTCCCAAAGCCCCCGGGTCCTTGGCCTTGGCACAGAGCTCTTCCCTTGATTTGGATTTGGTTTTTTTGGACTGCCTGATTCCAGAGTTCTGGAAAAGGGAGGTGGCACATTTGCCACTTCCCTCTGGACAGTAAATCAGAAACACAGCCCCGCAAGCCTGGGCTGGGACAGAAACCCGGGGGTTGCTTAAACTGCACATTTCCCAACAGCCTGAGTTACCTGGCGACGTTGGTCTTTTATATTACATCTCTATTTGTTTATTTGCTCTCTGGTTTGGGCTGCTGGCAAGTTGTGGTTTAGGTTCAGATGATGGGGGGTGATGGGCCCCGGGCACCACGAGATGCTCTGTGGGAGCTTTAAAAGCAGAAAAAAACCCTGGTTCTTGGTGTTTTGGTTTTAATTTAACGTAGCTGCCTGTGATGGCTCCTGCCCTTTGGGGTTTGCCCTGCCTGTTTCGTACTGCTTATATGGCAGAGAAGCAGCCACGCTTCCTCCAGCCCTGCAAGCATCCCAGCTGGAGGGATGGAGGGCACTGAAGGAGCAGGGGAAGGAGGAAAACTGCCTTGGCCTCTGGAAAAATGGAGGGGGAGATAAGGGAAAGGGAGAAGATGTGTCTTGTGATTTCCTGCGTGCGACCGATGCTCCTGCAGCGGTGTGGGAAGCACCGGGAGGATGCACTGGTGGTGCTGGTGCCCCAAACCTCGGGTCTCTGTCACAGGTCCCCTAGCTGCTTGTCACTGTGAGGAAGGTGAGCAGGAAGGGGGAGAGCTGGGGCCAGATGGGGAGGGTGAACACGGGGATGTGGGGACCTGATGCAGCAGAGCCTCTGCAGCAGGACTGGGTTTCTCACCAGACCAAGGGGAAATGAATCCCTTTTTTCTGCCCCCCCTCCATCAACAGCCCAGCGAGCACCCCCATAATCCCGGTCTCACCACCCTGTCCCCCTTGTCCATAGCCCTGTCCTGGTCATTATTCCCAAGGTTTCAGGACTCATAAGGAGCCCAAGAGGCTCTGTCACCTCTGCCAGCACCAACTCACTATGCCAGGGCTCCCCTGTCTCCCACTGCCTGGGTTCTGCTGGGCTGGGGGCTGGTGCTGGGACCAGCCCCCGAAACTGCTTTATCCCAAGTTACCCCATGGCTTTCATAACGTTTTACCCCATGCAGTCCCCAAAGGCAGTGGCTGCTCCTCTCTTTCTCAGCCCCCCAGCATTACATCCGAGCCCCCTTCCCACTGCACCCCAAACCTTCAGTGTGGGGGTGTCCTTGTGACTGTGGTTCCCCGAGGTATGGGGGGGGGGGTCCATAACCCTGACATCCTCCTCCATGGGGGCAAGACTGGCGCAGGGAGGCACGCGAGGACCCGGACCCGAAGGATGCTGACAGAGCTCAGTTATTTTCGCTTGCTGCTTTTCGTTGTTGTATCCACGGTACTACAATCACGAGAGATATATATATTATATATATACTTCTTAAATTACACCATCACTGTACAAAAAACTGGGGTGCATTGCTGAGACAGGAGGTTGGTTGGGTTTTGTCTGACTGTTTTGCGTGGTTTCTGCTTTCTTGCATACCTGGCAGGGGCGAGGGGCAGCGCGGCTCTCGCCTGCCGTGCCCAGCACATGGAGCATCTCCTGCCTCCTGAGAACACTTGATCCCTGGGGCCAAGAAATTCACCAAGCAACAGAGAGGGCAGGAGAGGAGCGGGAGGAGTGAGCGGGGAGATGAGGGCGCTGATGCTGGATGGAAGAGGGGAAACAAAGAGATGATCGGTAGGGAATTGCTCGGGATAGCAAACATGCCTGGGGCAGAGGGGTTGGGGTGACCGTGCTGGGTGGCAGCACCCCTGGGTGCTGAGGGGCTCCTATCCATGCCACGGCCGGTTGCAGAACCCAAGTGCCAGAGGGTGAGAGCCCTCTGGGGAGAAGCAAAGGGCAAAGCTTGCATCCGTTCCCCTTTTGGCATGTCTTGTTTCCAACCATCTTCACCAGGCAGCTGCTCTGCTGCCCGGACTGGGGTCTGCTGCCTGCACCAAGCCTCCTCATCCTCTGGGTGCTGCAGCTCCTGCTGGCACTGTGCAAGGCTGGACGTTGCTTATCCTTCATCCCTGCTCTGCTCCTGCCTCTCTCCAGGAAGGGGGTGGATGGGGACTGTCCCCAGCAGCATCCAAGCCGGTCGCCGCTAGCCCGGGCTGGGTGCGAAGGTGCTTCCAGCAGCGTTGATCTGCAGTGGGTCCTCCTCCAGGTGGGTCCTTCTCGGAACAGAGGTGGATTTTAGGGCCATCCCACCCGGAGCTGGATAACTGCCCTCATGAAGGGCGATGCTGCTCCCTGCAGCACACACGGGGCATCGGCTCAGCAGCCCAGCCCTGAGGAGGAAGAGGAAGCTGAGGAGATGCCACCAAGCTCCACGGCAGGGCTGGTCCCACCTCACCTGGGCACCCAGATCTGCCACCAGCCCTGCCCACGAGCAAGGCCCTGCCTGTGGATGGGGCCGGGTGGCTGCGGGGCCGGAGGGGGTGTTCATTCCCTTCCTTTGGGAAGGGAGGATGAAGCAGGGAGAAGAACATGGAGGCATGGAGTCAGACTCCAATCCACCTCGGGCTTTGGGGATGAATTTGATTAGTCCCAGGAGCTTCAGCGCTGTGCATTTCGGAACAGTTCCAGCCAATCAGAAGGCGGCTCATGATTTCAGTATCTTTAAAAGCCAACCGGTCAGGAGCTCTCACTGGTTGGGATTTAAGATCTTGAGGTATCGGCTTTTTTGTTCAGAGAAAAGATCAACTAACGCAGACGAACAGACGACGTCATCTTTCGCTTCACGTTATCTTAAGAAGAAGAAGAAGAAGAAAGCGGCTATGCAAAATACTCTTCGGAGACAACTCTTAAAAAAATAAAAGCTTGGTCGGAAAATATGTCTGAATCTCTAACTGTGAGGAGTGAAGGACCAGACAGCACCACGGCTGGTTGGTGGAGCGATGGAGGCAATGGAGGGTGGATTGAGCTGCTGACGGCGACGAGGAGCACACCACAAGACTTAGATTGCCTCCACGTAGTTGGCGGGGTAGAGACCTAGCTGCCCGTTGTCCAAGCGCCCTTTGCACCATCCTTGCTCGTCTTCTTCACCAAGTTTGGTTAATTCATCACCTGGGGGGAAGGTGGAAGGGGAGAGGTTTGTTGGGAACTTCTTCTACCACCCTTATTTCTCCGCTGGATGGAGCTGCTTGGGGGGGGGTTAGGACTGATCTTGAGCATGCTGATTTGTAGGGTAGAAAGGCAAGGGGTGACCCATGAGACCTCATGGGCCTCATCCCACCACCTCTTCAGTCCCACCTGGGTTTGGGCTCAGCTTGTGCCTTCCCCTTGCTGCCAGTTCAGCTTCCTGAAGGGCTGGGATAACTCGGAAGTTATTTGAGGGATTTCCCACCAAAACATGGGGCACCTGCAGCTCCAGCAAACCCGGCACTGACAATGGACTCTACCTGCTTTGAAGCTGAGCTCATCCTGCTCCTGCCCGTCGTAGTCGTACAGAGCCCGCACCCGCACGCCCTTCCCCACCGACTCCTCGTCGAAGGGGTTGGTGCCACCATTGGCCTCGCTGGTGTTGAAGGAGTTGCTGCCCTCATCATCGGACCACTCGGCGCTGTAGGTCTGCCCGCGGTCGTGGCTGCTCACGCTGCAGCAAAGAGGAAGAGGGGCTGTAGGAGTGGGCAAGGGATGGAGGACTGGGGCAGGCACCGGGTGCCGCTGGGAGGATGCTGCAGTTTCCCTGAGGCTGCAGGGGAGCAGTGGCTGCAGCACGACCCCAGCCCATGAGGACCAGGATAATCCTGCGTCCCCATAGCACTCGCAGTGTTCCCATAGCATCTTCCCACCCTGCCGGCCCTCACCTCCCGCGCTCGCCCGCCGGCGCCCCGCTCTCGCCCGTGCTGCCAGTATTGGTCAGGGTCACCCCCTCGCCTTTCTTCTGCTTCTCCTTCCGCGTTATCGTGTGCGTCAGGTCCGGGTTCCACTCCTGCAGGCACAGAGCAAGCAGCCCCTGAGCGCCCGGCTGCCCTGTGGGGCTGCCAGCACAGCCGTGGTGCTCAGCCTCACCTCAAACTGCGGCCAGTTCATGGGCATCCCGGGGCCGCTGGTGCTGCGGAACCACCGGAGGTCCTCCTGCGCATCCGAGAGGCGGATGGTTTGCTCCAGCTCCCGGTAGACGTTGGCATAGCTGCAGGGAGAGGTGGGGGTCAGGGTGCTGCAGGGAGGGTGGACCCCACTGGGGATGGGGTTAGATGGGAACATGCCCAGGTGGGGTCACGCACAACAAGGCACAGGCCTCCTGCCATTCCAGTGCATCTTAGTGACCATGGCCGTGCTCATGCCTGGTTCTGGCCAACACCATGGTCACCAGGATGTAGTGGAGTGGCAATGGGCTGTCTGGAAGCACTCGCTCCCTCCAGGGCTTTATTTGCTTTCCAGGCACCATAAGGAGACTTTGCATGGGCACTTTCTGCCCAGTCGGCACAGGAGGCACCTACCTGCTGCTCTCGGCCAGGTTCAGGTGCCTCTTGATGTCCAGGAGCACTTCCTTGAGGAAGTTGAGCCTCTTCTCCTCAAACTGCTGGCACTGCTCGAAGACTTGCTCCATGCTCTCGATGTACTGCGGGGTGCACTTGTTCAGCTCGTCCAGCACCTTCTCGTACTTCTCCTGAGTCTGCAAAGGCACCTTGGTTATACCCCGAGCACCTCAGAGCCCCTTTGTGGGTGCTGAGAGGGCCTGGTTTGGGGGCTGCCATGCTGGGGAGCCCAGGCTGAGAGAAGATTCTCTGTGGGTGAAATCAAGTGTGTTACCGGAGAGATTTTGCCCCCATAAAAGGGGTGAATCTCTCCCCTGAGCACTGTCTGCAAGTCATCACACTTCTATAGGAGCGTATGGATGGCAAAATGGGAATGAATGGGAGGAAAAGGGCCACGGTGGTCATTCCCACTGCTTTTCCCTACCCGATGCCTCGTACCTTTTGCACATCCTGCTTGCACTTCTCTACTTTGTCCTGGAGCTTCTTCTGCTGCTCGGGGGTGTTGGACTGGTCGGCCTTGCTGTTGGCTTCCCGGGTCATGGCCAGCTTCTCCTCCTTGCATGCTAGGTGGTAGGCTTTCTTGGCTGTCTCCAGCTGGGGAGAGAAGACACATCAGAGGAGCAGTCACAGCTCCCTGCCCATCCCTCTGCTTGCAGGGAGCTGCCACTCAGACCTGGAGCCGGGAGATGGCAGGGGTGCCCAGGACATGCAGCGCTTCTCCTCTCACCTCCTTGAGCTTCTTGGCCCAGGGCTTCTGGGCTTTCCTGAAGCCATCCTCAGCCTCCTTGGCCTCCTTGAAGCCTCCCATGATCTGCTTGTGGTAGGCATCCTTCTGCCAGTTCTTGACCTTCTCGAAGTCATCATTCAGCAGGCTGTTCTTCACGTCCTGGTGCAGCTCACTCACCTTGTCCGCCTCCGTCATGATGGCACCCCACGCCTTCTCCAGGCTGCCGTACTGGGGACCTGGCGGGGGGCAGAGGGCACAGCTGAGCATCACCGCACCGCCCTTACCCCTTCACCTCCACCAGGTGAAGCTGTGCTGGTGCACGGGTACCCACGGGACCCGGCTGTCCTGGGGGAGCCGTTTCTCGATGGCACCTTTCTCAATGAGCTGCCTCCACCGCTTGGACCAGTCGGTGAGCTGCTGCGCGTAGGACTTCTCGATCTTGGCCCGCTCGTGCACGCAGTTCATGAGGTCATTGCAGAGACGATGCCCGTCATCGATCCGCTTCACTGTGCGCTTGTAATTCCCCACCTGGGATGGGGATGCAGGCAGACAGGCATGGGAGCTGCGTCCAGAGAGCCCTAAACCTCAGCTGGCCTTTGGTGGGGATGGGGGTGGCACCAGGCTCTTTGGGGCTACAGGGATGGAGCTTTTGCTTTGGGGCTGCTCAAACCCAGCTCTGTTTGGTCCCTTCCATTGCTCTTCACCCCTTGGCGAGTGCCAAGGGTGAGAGCTGGCTTGGATGCCCAAGCCACCATGGCAGGGATGCGTGCAGGCAGCACTGTCCCCTGCCACATGGGGCCACCCTGGGTGCAGTGACAGCAGTGGGGGGCCCCACGGGAGCAGAGCATGGCTGGGACTCACCTCCCAGAAGCTGTCGGTCGTTTCCTCCGCGGCCGCTGCCGACTCATCATAGGAACCCGACATGGCTCCCGGTGCTGCCTGCGGCGTCCGTGCGGGCACTGGGTGGCTCTTGGGCAGGCACCAGCCTCATGCACTGCGGGAAGAAGAAGGGGTCATGGTGGAGGTTGAGCAGGGGACCCCCATTGCTCCTGCCCTCAGCACCATGGGTCAAGCATCCGTCTGCAGGGGATGGGCATGGGGATGGTGCCCATTCCAGCCCCTGCACTGCAGGCTCCTCCAGCGCCTGGACCCACTTGGTGCCATCCAAACCTGCCCCAGAGCCATGGTGCTGGGAGGGGACATGGTGGGGATGGTGGCAGGAGCTCACCAGCCGGGGTCACCAATGAGGGGCCATGGTGGGGATTGCGGGGGGGGGATGTACCACACAAGGAATGCTCGTCTGGATATTCCACCCTAATCCATCCTGATCTTCAGGAAAACGGCATCCCTGGAGCGTCACGTGGCCCCGCTGCACGGCTTAACCCTTTGCTGCTTTGCCTAAAGCTGTGCCTGACGATGGCAGCTTGTGAGGATGGAGAGGGGGCTGCAGTGGCCATAAGCACCGTTGGCATCCCCATCCTGCCCGGGTTTCCGACAGCGCTCCCACAGGAAAGCGCTGGCCCTGTCCTGAATAGCATCTGCCACTGGCATGAGGACAAAGTAGCCATGAATTGACCCCGTTTCCTCCTGCTTTGTCCCCAAAAGGGCTGTGGGAGTGGGAGATGTGGTCATGGCCTCCATGTACCATCCCTTCCCCTGGGGAGGTGGAGCAGGCAGTGGGAAACCTGGCCATCTCTCCTACCATGCGCCTGGGCAATGAGGTGGGAGGCCAGGACTGGGGGGAACAGGGTCCCAGTGACCCAATGCCCACCCGTGGGGAGCAGATGGTCCAAGCTCTCCAGCTGTGCACACAGCTGGCTCCAAGGAGCCCACGGTCCAGGGCAGGACGTGGCTCCAAGAGGATGGAGGGCCGAAACAGTTACTGGAGCGCGGCACAGGGCTTGCTGTGCTGGAACTAACAGGGCCTGGCAGGGATTTAGTGATATAACCAAGGAGGCACCAAGCCCGCCCTCCCCAGCCAGTTAAAAATAAACGCGTGGCTGTCCCTCACTCAGCTGCCACGATGCTGATGGAGGGGGGACCACAGCGATGCACAGTGCACCCAGAGCCAGTCTGGCACCCGCCATCCTCCATGGACACCCGTGGGCTGCCCCAGTGCACCTGAGCAGTGGCAAAGCACCCATGGGCTGCCCCTTCTGCAAGCCCCGAGCATGGTGCTGCACTTGGCACCTGGGGCTTGGTTTGTGTCTCTGGTCTGTGGATCTTCGTTTTGCTGCAGAGGCTGCATCGGCGAGGCAAGGGCATCCTTGGGGCGACAGCCCCAGTGCTGCTCAGGGCTGGGACAGGGACCCTGGGGAGGGAGCTCGTCCATAGCTGGGTGTAGTGCTATGGGATCCATGGGCATGTGAGCCAGCCCCAGCCTCTCCCTGCTCCTTCTCCTCGGTGCCACCCGGTCAGAGCCACAGCCTGGGGGTTATTTTTGGCTCTGCATCACCTCCCATCTAACACCGCTGCCTTGTCGCTGCTCTGCTGCCACGCAAACCCCCACATGCGTCTGCCCCCGGCCCCGGGCTGCCCCACGGCGCAGCCCCATGCCCGCTGCTGCAGCCCATCGCATCGCATCAGGGCTGCTGCTGTGATGCCCGGTGCCGGCAGCCAAGCCGAGCTGCCAGCCCCAGCCACACACTGCTGCTCGGGTACCCTCAGCCAAGGGGGCTCTGCTGTGCCCCCTCCCAGCCCCATGTTTGCATGAGGCTGCTGGAGAGGAGCCACAGAGCATTTGGCATCGAGGGATGGTGAAGTTTGCCCCAGCTCCTGCGTGCCCTTGGGTTGCTCCGGCAGCAGCCGCCCCCCTGCATCTCTGTCCCCATCAGCCCGCTCGGTGCTGAGCACCGGCGCAGCTCATCTCACACAGCTCCTGCTGGCGTTGCAGGGGGGTCTGTGCCCTCCATGGGGACCAGGGACGGTGCTGACCCTGTGCAGGCAGGAGGTGCTGCAATGCAGAGAGCTGGCGCTGCCGACACTGCAGGCACACGGCAGTGCCCTGTCCCCGTAGAGCCCAGCTTTGCTGTCCCTGCCCCCGGCAACGGGGCTGCAGAGCTTTGGGCAAAGCACTGCTTGGGAAGGGTGAATGGGCCAAGCTGGCTCCCTTGGGGGGGGGGCAGCAGGACCCCTGCCTCTCCCTGCTCTCTCTGCCTTTGCCTTTGCTGTAGCACCACCATTACATGTGCACCCCCCAGTGCCATGGCCTTGGGGTGTGCTGTCAGACTGGGGTGCCCCATCCTGGGCTCTGGGGTCCTCAAGTGAGGTGCCAGGCACCAGCCCCAGCTGCAGGGATGCTGCAGCCAGGAGGCAGCTTGCTCTGCCTCCAGGTTTTCTCATTGCCCTGGCCCCAGCATCCCTGCTGCAGCCAAAAAGCAAGGGACGGGTATGTGATACAGGGAACAGGCAGCTGCCTGAATGTGTTCCCATCCTGCCTGCCTGCACATTGACTGAAAACGGTGGGGACCCAGAGCTGCAGAGCCTCCTGGTACAGTTTCTCCTGCTGCAAAGAGCCCTTTGCCAAAACAGGATGGTGGTGGATGTGCTGCAAGGAGCACCCTGTGCTCCTATCCCTGTCCCCATCCTGTCCCAAGGCAGGAGGTTCTCATTTGCAGTGAATGGGAGAGGGCTGGGTGCTGTGGAAGGGGAGTCAGGGGGGAAATCACTGGTGAAAGCACCCAGGAGAGAGGGATGCCACGCTGAGCTTTGCTCCCTCTGTGGGAATCACAGCAAGCAGGAGCTCCCCGACACCAAACCCAGCACAAACCAGTGCAACGCATGATGCTCCTCTGGTGCAGAGCCCTTCAGGAGCTGCAACCCAACCAAGGGCCCTGGCTGGAGCACATGAGCCGGGGATGGGAAGGTAATTTGCTATGTGCTGTTGCCTTGTAGTTACCTGAGCCCTCCCAGTACAAAAGGCAAAGCTCAGCAATTGGAAAGGACCCAATGGTCTGAGCTGGTTTTCTTGCAATTAAACACTGGGACTGACCTGGCCTGTCAAATCAAACCATCCATGGGGCTGCAATGTGAAATAGTTGCTGCATTTTGGCTCCTTTTGTAAGCATAAAGCTACATAAGGTAAGTGCAGGGGTTATGGGGAAGGGAGCCAGGCGGGGATTCCATGGGGAAGGTCATTTGCTCTCCCTTATGTTGGCACAGAGCTGGTCTAGTGTCTCTCAGGGGGTGCAGCACCAAATGCCACTGCAACACATCAGTGCTATGGCCACATTATGGCCAGCATGGGAAAGACAAACGGACTAGAAACAGCCAAGGAAGCCCAGGGCAGCCTGGCAGCAGCATCTCCCATTGCATCGCAGCAGCTCTGGGGCTGCCTTGCTGCTGCATCAGCTGCTGGTGGTACCCGACCTCAGTGCTGCATCCACTGCAGGCACCGGTGCCTACGTGCTGCTCCCTCTGTGCCCGAATACGGGTGGGTGAGATGCCCTGGCACGATGGCAGGGCCTCAGGTAAAGCTGGTGACACCGAAGTGCTCTGCAAGAGGCTTTGCAGCAGCAGGAGCTGCTCAGACCAGACCTGGCCGGGTGCTGAGGGTTTCCCACCAGCACAGGGCTGGTGCATGAATCCATGGGGCTGGGGCAAGGGAAAGCAGCCCATAGGGATGGCAGGGGTGGATGCAGAGGGGTTGGCTCTGGCATGGCTGAGTTGTCCCCTGCTCCAGAGCCGATATGGACCCTGCAAGGAAACGGTTAAGCGGGCGCTGCTGATTCACTCTGGCACTGGGCATGGAGGCAGGAGCGTGAGGAGGCAGGAGCTGGGGACCAGGGCTCTGGTTGAACAGCCTGGAGGGTCGTGAGCAGAAGAACACAAGTCCTGCCCCCTCATTATCCAACTGAGCCCAAGGCCAGGCGGGAGGTGAGCCTGAGCCCTTCCCAAGCTGCCGGCTCCCTGCGAGCAGGCTGCAATCAGGGCCTCATCCTGCAGCCCGTGGCAAAACCCCTCCAGCTGCAACACAAACGGGGTTGGAGGTGCGGGCAAACAGCCAAATCCTGCAGCCAGAGCCACGGCCAGATGGGAGAGGATGGGAGGCACCCACACGATGGGTGCTTTTCCGTGGGATTTAGGCCAGGGCAGTGCCGTGGGGCTGGCCTGGACCCGGTGCACTCGGTTGCCGGAGCAGTGCACGAGGTGGCTGTGAGGGCAGCAGGTCCCTGGGGGTAGCACGTAGGGAATGGTGGGAAACATCTGGGAACCACTTTTCCAACGAATCCCGTGCTGGATGTGCCAGTGGGCAGCTGCCTTGCTCCCACTGGGGCTGCCTGCATGGACTGAGGGGAGCTGAGGATTGGGAAGGGGATTTGCCAGCTCAGGGATTGCAGGATCCCCAAAACCAGAGTGTTTGCAGAGGTGGGTCAGTGATCCAGGGACACTATGGGGACCCACACGTCCTGCATGCAGACGGGAGGACACCACCTCTCTGTCCGGGGTAGGGGCCACGCTGCGGGGTTGCAGTAGGTGGGGAGATGCGTTTCCTCCAAGAAAACAGCTTTGCATCCCATGTGTGCTCTGCAGAAACCTCCCCTTTCCTCCTGCACTCCCCACAGCTCCCCTGCTCAGAGCACAGGGCGCCCATCCGAGTCTTCCCAAGGATTTTATAAGCCTTGTGAAAAGATTTCTGGAGATATGCATGGCATTTGCAGGTAATGCCAGTGCTTCTCTCCAGGGAAGCTGCAGCCCAGCTCAGGTACAGCTGAGGATGTGCCAGGAATGTGGACAGGCACCATAGCAAGGTGCGGAAGCAGGATTGCCAACCCCATGCATAAGCTCAGGCCTGGGGAAGGGAGATGGGGCTTGTAGGGTTTCCACTTGGCATCCAACTCTGCAGTGCTCCTCAGCCTGCCACCTTAGCTTGCCGCTGTAAACAAGGATGCTCAGGCTCTCGAGCAGGGATTTTTGTGGTCCCAAGGGGCAGGGTTTAGGCAGAAATCCAAACATGAGGTTTGCAATTAAACCAAGAGGCAGCAAACGATGGTG